ATCCAAATATATATTTGTTTTGCTATCTACACTCTGTTTTTAAAAATTTTCAAAATCTAAACTAGATTTTGAAAACTAAAAAAAATAGTTTTCAAAAACTTTGTTTCTATTTTTTTTGGGTAAGAATCAAATTTTTTTTTAAGAAAAGGTGAAAATGTACTTTAAAAGCAATGGGACGACAAAAACGAAATGATTATTGCATAGATCAAAAATAAAAATTTCAAGTGTTACTCAAATCAAGTTGATCATGTCATTGCTGAAAGTCTCCCCTGCACGCCCGCCTTTCTATATATGTTAGAACTCGTTGATTTCAAATTGTCAGACACATTAATTAACATCTCAACTTATGGAAATTGTAGTTTCCACATTTCGTCACTTTATTTTTAATCTAATATAATATTTTAAGAATAAAAATAGGTTAGGGTCATTTGATAACTATTTTTATTTTTTTTATTTTATATTTTTAGTTTCCTATTTATAAAAAATAAAAATATATATGTTTGATAACTGTTTTTACTTTTGTTTTTAAAAAATAGAAAATAAAACATCTTTAGTTAACTATTTTTAGTTTTCTATTTTTAAAAAGTTAAAAAATTAGAAATATATATTAGAAAGAAAATTCCATCTAAAGTAAATTTGACATTAACAATAGTGTGAGACGGGAGTGAAAATGCACTCTCCCATTTTCTTGCTCGTGACAAATTTTAGTCAACCACCTCACCTTGTTATTTGGTCCGAGAATCGAGAACCAGGTGAAAGCATCCTTATCTAGGGACGAAGATATTCACGAAAAAAATGCCGATTTTGTAATTAATTTTAATTATTTTCAGAATTTAAAAGTGTAATAAATATATATTAGTTATTTATAGAGTTATTATTTACTATTATAAATAATTGGTTTTAAAAAATATTTAATATTTTATTTACAATTTAGTAATAGGTTAATAAAATATATATTAATTATCAAGAAAGTGGAAACCTACATGGATATGGGACATGCATTTCCTATTTTTGAAGTAGGGACGGAGCCGTATAGAAATTTTTTGTCATCCATACACAAAATACTAGTTTAAATGGATGGAAATAATTCTTTTAAAGAAAATTTTTTTTGAGATAAGAATCAAATTTAGAAAAAGAAAATTTAAAGACAAAAAGAGACAAATTTTAGAGGAAAAAAAGTAAAGTTAACCGRGGAAGATACGTCAAAGAAAAAAAATTAAAAAGAAAAAGAAAAATTATAGTGAGAAAAAAAATTAAAGATAAAAACAAGATTCAAAATATGTTTTATAGATAAAATAAATAAATAAGAAGATAAATAAAAGTTCTAGCGAAAGAAAATTAAATGCTAAAATAAGATATAATTTTTAAAGGAATAGAAATAAAAGTMKTAGAAAATGAGATTGTAGAAAAAAGTTCAAGAAAAGTTGAGTATTAGAAGAAAAATTAGATTTTGAAAAAAAAAAATAAGAAACGAAATGATTATTAAATGGGATCTTAAGCTACTTACAACATGTAGGAGGAAGGAATTGAACTCACAACCTCTTAATTAGATATATATAACTATACTCATTTTGGCTCACGTTGGATTAAGATTTAATCGTACTTAATTGTTCATTAATTTATAACAATTATTGTAACTTTGGTAACCGAAATTGGTAAATTAGATTCCTAAAATTGTACTAAAAAGAATAGATCCCTAAAAAAATATAGTAAATTTATAATATTCTTGTTACATAATATCAGAAGTTATAATTTATTGATTTTTTTCTTTTTTTTTGACGAAGCCTATTAATAATAGGCTTTTTAACATCTAATTTAGAAAAGCATTAATAAAATAATTTATTATAATTTTTTTGACAAAACAAAAGGTTTATCATTGTGGACGTGCATCTCTCTCCCGTGAATTAGTTATGTTATTAGAAAAATATTTTTAAAAAAATAAGACTAGTTATGGTAATTTCTTCAGTTCACTCAACTAGAATTGGTATATTAAATTCTATTTATTTTATTGTAGGTAAATGGATTAAAGTCAAAATATATGATTTCAGAAAAAGTAAAACAATTAATATCATTTATTATTAGATTGTTTAGGTAAGAAATAAATACTAACTTACGGGCACACTAATCCAAACCCATTCAAAACCGGGAGTAGAATTAGCTAAGCAAACTCAGTCTTGTTTCACAAGTTTATAAACACGTGTTGCTACGCTAAATAATATTGTACCACCAATAAATAATATTCTACGCTCAATTAAATACTTAATTTATTTATGTCAAAGCGAGCATAATTCAACGATAATTAGCTAATCTCCAATCAAAATTTTGTGAATTCGATCTCTCACCCCTACATATTGTATAAAAAAAAAATACTTAATTTATTTATACTCTCTAAGTTGCTATAGTTTTTATCTTTACCCTTTAGAAATTCTACCGTGCATATTTTGTCTTTAATTTTTCTACTAAAATATATTAATTTTTTAATATATTGATTAAATATAATTAGATATAATTTTAATAATAATAAATAAATAAATTTAATTAAAATTACAAAGTAATGAATTATTCATTCATATATTGACTTTTTTAATCGTAAATTTTATGAGTGAAAACCAAAATTAAAAAAGGAAGAAATTAGCAAAATCAAGATCGGTTGGAACCATAACGATAACTTAATTTGATTTTCTTAAACTCATATATCAACTTTGACTAAAACCAGAATAATCCAAATTTCATTTATACCCATTATAAACTTCTATCTTTTAAACTTCATCTTTTAGAGCATTTATAATGATAAATTTATATATGCAAGTACACACTTCGTTCCCACTTCAAAAAATATTTTAAAAAATCAATAATAAAATTAATTAGATATCTATTTCACACCATAATTACTAAAAAAATTATATTAATAATTCTATTAAAATTAAATTATTCATGCTTAAAATATGAGTTACTAAATAAATATTATTACATTTTTAATCCCATAAATATGTAATTATTCTAAACTATTTTATTTTAAATTCAAAATTCCAACGCACTTCATACAATCTAACAAGTTGAAAACAGTTTTTATCAGACTCTTGTACAATGTAATAAAATATAGTATAATTAATAAATTGATAGCCTTTAAATAACTATTTTGATTGTCTAAATTGATAACCTTTAAATAAATGTTATTTAAAAATTTCTTAACTTTTTAATCAAAAATTTATTGGCTAAGTAAAAACAAAAAGTTAAGTTTAATGAAAAATTTGACAGTAATTAGTAAATAAATTTATTTAGCATAACATGAACAAATAATTAAATAACTCATTAATTACACTTGTTTCGTGGTAAATTACGATAAATTTGTATAAAATAATTAAATATTTATTTTATAAAATAATAATTGAAAAAAATTAAGCAAACAAATGTATGAATTTTTTTTTTTATATTTGACAAGTATACTTTCTCATAAGAAAACAAAAATTTTAATTATTTCAATCAAAATATGAACAATCTATTGTTTATTATAAATTCAAAATCTAATGATAAACACAGTTTTAATAAATTCAGATTTAACAAAGTAGCATCAAACACAGGTTTAATAACTCATACTTCATTAACTCTAAGTTTAATAAACACATGTTCAGATCAATCTACAATTTCTGCTCGAAGCTTTTCATTACACACCGAAATTTTTTTAATAATCTTAATTGTATGTTTTATTGGACTTAAGGATTTTTTTTATAATTTTAATTTCAGCTCGAAGCTTTTTGTTACATACTGAAATTTTTTTAATAATCTTATTGTATGTTTTATTGGACTTAAGGATTTTTTTTTATATATATATATTTTTTTGCAAAGGAATCTTCTTTGTTTTCAACATTTTGGTGTAGAGATTTATACTAGAGATAGATGTTTACTAGTTAAACTAGGTTCAGTTTTGCAAAGGATTTAAGAATATTGGACTATGTGGTACATTTCACGATMTTTTTTTTTCTTTTTTGTTTGAACATTTCACAGCTAATTCATCTGCCAACTAATTCTTTATCATTTCATACCTTAACTAAAGGCTGTGTGTTTGAAAGTAATGGTAGAATGAGTGATTTTGAAAAAAATAGATTTAAGTATAATTGATTTTCCAAAATCACCATAATACCTTAAAAATTAATTAAACTTTTCTTAAATCAATTTTTCAATTTACCAAACATGATTAATTGAGAGGCAAGTGATTTTAACAATCACTCACAAACTTACCCTAAGTTTAGTTGCATTAATATAGTAGTTAAACCAACTAACTTTTTACATGAGATAATGTTTAATTAATATGTATTTAATTATTAAGTTTCTAAATACATAAATTTTATTAACAATAATATTTTAGGTTGTATTTAATTTTCTAAAAATAATTACTTTATTACTACGTGCTTTTTTTATACTTTGTTTTATTTCTAATTTATAATAAAATAAATTAAAAAAGAAAAAAAAATCGTTATATTTATAAAATGAAACTTATTCGCAACTTTTATAATGTATTAAAAATCTAAGTTAAATTTAAATTTGTTTTTGTTTTTGACATTTGGATAATAATTCAAATGTTCTTTTTTTTTCCAAAAAAATGCTAAAATATACTTAAAAAATTACGAGGAAATCAGTATAATTTTAAAAAATAAGGAAAAGACTAAAAAAAATATTATTTTTTAAACTCAGCATAGAGTGAGAACACTATGTTGGTCCAAAAATAAAAAATTTGAAGTGTTTTACTAAATTTAGAAACTCTAAACACTTAGAAGAACATTTGTTAATGCAGACGAAATTTTTGCCGAAACAACAATTTTCATGGGGAAAAGTGAGAAACCCCGACGTTATACACTTTCGTCAGGAAATTTCCAACGTTTTATATTCTTGTTTCGGAATTATCTTTTGTGGGATGAAAAAATATTAACACAAAATAAATCCAAAAACGTTGAAAAGCATAATGTAGATTGATAAAGTATAAAATATGATTATAACCCATAGCAACAGTCAACAGATTTATTTAGGCACAAGTTTATTGTGCATGAACTATATTTCCATGTAAAATACATTACTTTAGAGAATATCATTAATTTTTTGGGTTGTCTTTAGCCAGCATTTGCTTGTGGCTTTGAGAGGGTAATTTGACATGAGTGGCCACTCCAATAGTTTGAAGGAACATGATAACATACCAACCAGGGTCATATTGCCACCATTCAAGGCCTACCCTAGCTGAATACTCAAAAGCATGGTGGTTATTATGCCAACCTTCTCCAAATAATAGCAAACCCATCACCCTGTAAGAAAAACCAAAAAAAAAATCTAATAAATAGCTACCAAAATATTGTTATATAAACAATTGATTAATTAATAAATATAAAAGCCAATAATTATTTATTGTTATATATATACCTTCCAAAAAAATAATATTGTTTTACTATATTTCATTTTGCTATTTATTTTTTGTTATTCTTTTTCTTATTTAGAACATTATGTTTTTTTAAAGAATAAAAAATATTATTTTAATAGATGTGGTTATACATTCCAAATTAGATAAACATTTCAGTTTACCACAAATATATTAGCACATTATGCAAAGCATAACTCAAATAGTTAAAACATATATTGTTAATTAAGAGGTTTGAGTTTGAATCTACATCCTTACATGTTATTGTTTTAAAAACAAATATATTGAAACATTATGACATCAATTTTGTAATAAAATGATCGGATATAGATGCCTCAACCAATTGAACTATGACATTTAACAATTTTTAAACCTTACAATTAAACGTTATTTTTAAACATTAAAAGATTATGCATGAACATGTTACTTAACTAGTAACAATAAAATGTGACTTAAAAGGTATATCTATCCATGAACAAATAGCTTGTTACATAAATCATGTTTTTAATTTAAGAATCACATAATAACCAAACCGGCTTTAACAGTTGTTGTGTTAAAAACTAATTTTATAAATAAGTTGATGAAATATATGTTTTTAATACATGTATCACTCAAAAAAAAAAAAAAAATTCAATTTATGTAATGTTTATGACGTATGATTTACATTTCCTGGCGCTTTTATAAATTATGAAATATCTACTATACATTCAAGCTCTAAACTTATCATATCATTTTTAAAATTTCCCTAGAAGTTATTCAACTAGAATTTTCCATCTATAGTGAAACAGAAATCAGAAACATAATAAACTAATTAAATAATCGCTTAATTTTTTTTTTCTTTTTATGCATGAAAATAATCATTTACTCGATAATTTATGTACATATAGAAAGGCAAAATATACTTACCAATTGTTTCTGGACAAATCTTTTGTATTCCATGGTCGCTTTCCCCATATATGACATATTGAGTTCACCAAAAGTGTTACATGTAAAAGCATTACAATTCTCACACACTGTTAAGAAAAGAAAAAGTATGATATATGTCACATTTTTCTTGTTCCTACTCTTAATAATCTTATCTAATTTATTAGTTCAAAAACAAAATTTTAAATCGTATATGTAAAAAAAGTATTGTTTTAATTGAATTTTTATTATTCGTATTTGCACTTAACTAAATAAACTAATTTAAATTTTTAGCACAACTAACTAAATTAAAATCATTATGAGATGGAATTAAATTGAAATGAATTTACTAAAATCTTACTATTCAAATTACGATAACCTATCTAAAATAATTATTTATTCTTCTTGTATTACAATTGAAATGAATAAAATAAGTGAGAGAATAATTTTATTTTACCGTTCCCCATATGAGAAAAGAAATTCCTCCGATAGCATAGAGTACGACAGAAAGAGCAATTGGATGAAGAATATATGTTTTCTGAATAAACATATAGAATGTTTGCTTCTTCAAGTCAGCAACATTACTCAATCTCTCATGCTTCCTATTCATCACGGACATGCTTCTATCTCTCTCTTCAAAATTACTCAAGTACTTTGAACAAACTTTATTAGCCAAAGCATTAGAATCAAAAATCCAAATAATATGACTAACCCAGAATCCTTGAATTGGACTGTGTGGATCTTTTTCAGTATCAACAAACTGATGATGATACCTGTGCGTACTTACCCAATTGATTGGATCACCCTAAAATATGAAAAATTAAAAAAAAAAAGTTAGAAGATGCAATAGGTATATATATATATATTGATATGCTTTAGAGTTTATCCATTAATTTTTACGTCCACTAATCATTGACATCTATAATATGAACAAAAGGCATAAATGTCAAACCTGCAATGCATGAACTCCACAATAAGCAAATAAGTATTCAAGTCATTTGGGGAGCTCGAAACTCTTATGTGATAGATTTCTATGATATGAAATAGTAATGCCAAAAAGACCTGTTATAACATATAATACAAAGGCAAGCCATAATGCACCCCAATTGAATTGGAATGGTGCAAAAACACAACCCACATGCAAAAAAAGAAGAGCCAAAGCGTGTGCTTTATCTGGCTTGGTCCATTTTCTGCTCCCAACTGACATTGAAGGATTCACTGTCACCATTTCCTTTGGTTTTTCTGACGCATCCATCAGAAAGGACTTGTTAAAGCTGAGGCTTCACCATCTCTTTTACCCATGTATTTGTAGTGTCATCTAATGACAATGTGCTAATTTAAGGCCTCCTTTTAACTGAGGTTCTATTCACTTCAATAAACTGAGAATGGTCGAATGAAAATTAAGAAATAGGAATCAAAACTTTTATTTGCTTTGATGATGCTTAATGAATCGTAGGATCGGAATCAATTTGTGACACCTACCTCAAAGTTTATAATCACTCCTCCTTAAAATGTGATCTCATTCATACTACAATTTCTTCAATCTCATTCTCATCTCTTATTCCTTGAGACCCACACTTTTATAATAATAAATTTATAACTTTTACCTTTTCTCTTTTACCAATCAAACGAGACCAATATTTTAAATGTCGATAATAGATGGAAATGTCAAGGTATCAATTTCATGAAAATATCGACAAAATATCGATGTTGATGGATATTTTAAAAGTTAGAGAAATTAAAAAATCGTAAAAAATATTTAAATTAACAAATAAACATTTTTCTAATTTTAAATAAATTAAAAATAATTAATATTAATATTAGGTATATATTAGTGTCATTTTATTGATATTTTTCATATTTTGTCGATTTTTGTACTACAATAGAAATATTGATTTACCCCTCATGTCGATGTGGAATTCATGAAAACATGGATATGACAATGAAAATGTCGACGAGTATTTAAAGCCATGAATGAAACACATAATTTATTAATTAATTATTTTACACTTTTATTATTTCTTTTTTATTTATACTATTAATGATTTTTTTCAAATATAAATTTGTACAATTTTATTATAAAATATTTTAAATTTATATTTAATTTTATTATGTTATTATTAATTAATATCAAAAATGTTTTAAAAATATAATTTTTTAGTTTTAAATATTAGAACAATAAAATTTTATATTAAAGGGTGGTTGTTCCTAATAAAAAAAATATTTTAATTGATGTAATTTATTTTTATTATTTATTATTTATTAATGTTAAATAAATTATTATTATAAAATATGTAATATCAATAAAATATGGATAACATAAATTAAAATTTAGTATTATTTTAACTAAAAAAAGGTAGTATTACAATGTATTTGTAATTATCTATAAATAAAAAGTGTATATAATTGTTATGTATCTGATTCTTATTCTAATTCCAAACCGTTTTAGTAAACAACATAAAAAAATTTCTAATTCCGATTAAAGAAAATTTCTAGGATTTTCGTTTTGATTTCTTATTATTCCGATTAGTTGTATGTTATTTCTTATTTTGATTGATTTTCGTTTTGATTTCTTATTATTTCGATTAGTTAGAGCGCCTAAATGTATACCACTTGAAATTTGTCAAAATGTACTTGCTTTTATATATATATAATTTGGAGATCGAATTTCCAAACTACAATTTTCATAGGTGGAAGCATTTGCAAATGTATAATAATTAAATTACTAATTATACAGTATTGTTGATTTAAAATGAATAATTGTTTTTACTAAATTAGATTTTAAAGAATATTTGAAAAAGGAAGAACAGTAACCCCACCCTACATTATTCGTTTTTCAGAAAATAATTTATCAATGCTTTTCTAAATTATATGTTAAAAAGATTATTAATAGGCTTCCAAAATCAATAAATTCCAACTTCTAATATTATGTAGCAAAAATATTATAATTTTACTATATTTCTATTACTTAATTTACAATTATCATAAATTAATGTTTCTATTGAACAAAATCATGGTGCCACGTATTGAAAGCTCGTTCAACCATACAACCTAAGACAAAAAAAAGAACAATCAAAAGCCGAATGCACTAGGCCTAATCTCAAGTTCCCCAACTATATAGGGCTAGAAGGCAGGGTACTGCACCCCGTACCTGAACCACGATACATCTTAAAGGATCACCTAAGGTGCTGCCATGCCCCCAACATACAACTGATGAGTAGAAAGAATGTTGGTGATGTGGGCGTAACATACCGCCCAATGTTCGCCCTAAATATGGAAAACCTCTCTATGGCTATGTCTCCATATATAAGGAAAATGCAATTCTGACGAAGATAAGTCAACTTTTTCTACACAATTCCTTGTGAAGATTCGGTACACAGTACTCTCAAGAAAACTCTCACATTCGAGAATAGTGTCCTCTTACTCGATCTTTTTGTCCCCACATACCTCTTTGTTCCCAATTTGAGTTCTAACTGAAGATTTAGATCAATCTATTTGGTAAGGCACCACATAGATTTATGTGTATAGACTACAAGAATTCGGAGATAAAGACCTACGTGATACCTGCATGACACTCACTTAGAGTGCATCCATAAAATCGGCATCAACAAATGCTAATAGTCAAATTAAGTACATTTAATGTTAACCTCCTCCTCTTCCCTGCACGCCTTTTCGATATAGTTTAGAACGAGCAATGCATCATTGATCTAAAATTGTTTGGTATCTCAAACTTTTGGAAATTGTAGTTTCGACATTTAGTTCCTTAATTTTTCATGTAATTACAATATTTTATGAATGAAAATAGTTTAATTGTTTAAACCACGTAATAACATCTCTGGTAGCCTCCGGCATTTTTTTGTTGTACTAAAAAAATAATTTAGTTTAGAAAAAAAAATAGATATCTAAATCATTAATTGTTTCTTTTAAGTGCCACGAATGTAGGGTTGGGTTAACATTAATAGCACTTAATTGTGAGTTGACGATTGGCATTGATTTATTATATTTATTGTAAATTAGGTAACAAAAATGAGTAAATTAGATCCCTAATGCCCTAAAAAATACAGTAAATTTATAATATTTTTGTTACATAATATCATTAGTTAGAATTTTGGAAGCCTGTTAATAATACTCTTTTTAATATCTAAATTAGAAAAGGATTAATGATTAAAAAATAGAAAAACATTAATAAAATAATAAATAATTTATTAAATTTTTGTCAAAAAGAAAAAAGTTTTATTATTGTCGTTGTGCATTGTCTCTCTTGTGAATTAGTTATGCTATAAATTAGACTAGTTAAGCCGTAATTTCTTGGGTTCATATAATTGAAATTAGTATATTGAATTGGACTTTTCTTAAATAATGTTTTTTTAAACGACATAAAAATAACGTAGGTTTGAAACTATTTTCAAAAGTAGGGTAACGAAAGAGTGCACCCTAAATTTCAATGGCAGCCAATCGCGACTATAATTTTGTGGGTGTCGCTGCATCCAATATACAGGTTTTCTTTAACTAAATTCATAAAACCAGCTTGTTTATCCGTAACTTTGTTGATAAATATCCCTCCATTTTTTAGTTCGGTACATTCTTTAATTTTTTTATTTTATAAAAATATCTCAAATTCAATTAGTATTTTTAAAATAATTTTATTCTCTAACATTTCAATATCTTTATTATAAAAATATATCAATTTCAATTTGTATTATTTAAAATAATTTTATTTTCAATTTGTTCCCAGAAATTTTAAGTATTTTTATTTTCAATTTTTACGTTGTCATTACATATCGATGATATTATTTGTTATATAAATTATATTACAAATATATTTGCACTTGAAAAAGTATATTTTCATGTGGATTTATACTTTTACTTATGTATGAAACAGTTAAATAATAATAAAATAAATAATATTTTATATGTAAAAAAAATTTAAAAAATCTAAATATTTTTCCATATATGTTGTATGCGACTTCTACGAATGGAAATCACATGTAATTTCTTCTGAATTCATGTTGCTCGATCGTATTGTTTGTATTGATCTCCAATAGACGGCGCCAATTGTTGATGCTGGAATTCGGCCTCCTGGATTCTCGCCAATCTAGCACCAAATTTGATGGTCACGGGATTGTTTACCTGCAAAACCGAGCAGCACTAAACTGGTGTGACTTCTGTCACACGGGATCCAATGCTTAAATTAGGAACGACGGAATAAGGTTGGAAAGCTGTCACACGGGATCCAATGCTTAAATTAGGAATGACGGAATAAGGTTGGAAAGTATTATAGTAGCAATGTTAGACATACCTATAGGGTTAGCATGTTGCTTTATTTCTAGGGATTTCTCTCCTTCGAAATCCCTTGTGTTGGGTTACCATAGTCCATCATTGATGGAGTTGTTGGATCACGGGGGTTTATAGACTAGGATACCTCAACTAACGGGAGAGGTGGGAAGAGTGGCCGAGCCCCGGTCGGCCCATGTGTCTTGGCCCCTCTTTGACCTTTGCTCGGTCGATTGTCTTACTTGGGCCTCTTTGGTTCACCTAGGCCCGCTTCTTCTCATTTGACCGAATCTCATCTCATAACAGGCAATATCTCCAATCAAAAGATTGTGAGTTCGATCCCCACCCCCACATGTTGTACTAAGAAAAAACATTTAATCGTACTTAATTGAGTTGACTATTAACATTAATTTATGATAATTATTGTAACTTAGGTAATCGAAATTAGTAAATTAGTTCCCTAAAAAAATATAGTAAATTTGTAATATTCTTGTTATAGAATTTATTGATCTTTRAAGCCTATTAATAATAGGCTTTCTTAACATCTAATTTAGAAAAGCATTTAATAAAATAATTTATTATTATTTTTTGTCAAAAAAAAAGTTTATTATTATAATTCACGTGCATCTCTCTCCCATGAATTAATTATATTATTAGAAAAATATTTTTAAAAAAATAAGACTAGTTATTGGTAATTTCTTCAGTTCACCAAACTAGAATTTGTATATTAATAATTGACATACCTGAATAATAATTAATATATAACTTCAATCAAGAGTTTGCGATTTCAATCTCTTATCCCACATGGTAAAAAAAATTGGTATATTAAGTTCTATTTATTGTATTGTAGGTAAATTGATTAAAGTGAAAATATATGACTTCAAAAAAGTAAAACAATTAAGAGATAAATGAACCGAAACCCACTCAAAATGGGGAGTAAGATTAGCTAAGCAAAATCCATATTTGTTTAGCAATTTTACACACATGTTGCAACACTAAATAATATTCTACCTCTAAGCTGCTATAAAGATGCGTGAGATTCAATTGTCAGGGAATAAGATGCCTGGAAATAAAAAATAACTGTGTTTGATTGTATATATGTAT